TCATCACATTGCTCATAATCATGCATCTTGTGCATTTACCTCCTGGACTTGTTAGCAGCAGCACAGGTTTTCATAGCTTCTTGTAATATGCAAAGTCCCATCTCAAAAACATGCCTCTTCTTTAATCTGTGTAGTTAGCAACCACACACACACACACACGTTCTTACATTGACTCTCCTTAGTTGCACATGCTCGGATATTTTCATAGTATTTTGTAATCTTTTCTGCATGCTTTGTCCATCGACTAATATATATCGAGATGGAATTTGAAAAATGCCTAAGCGCTATGGAGTACAGGTACTCCACATGTCTACAGATGATCCCCTTATACCGAGAAGAACGACATAGAAAACTCGGCTCCTCGTCTTTCTGGTCCGAAGTAACCACAAAGTCTTCTTTCAATGTAAAATCATTAAATATCGAGATTGTGCCTTCACCTCTTACTTTCAAGGAATAACATGAAGAACTTCAGCTTGGAACCTTCTTAAAGATCTCGAAAGTATTGATTGTTGACAATTAATGTTTTTCAAATGGCGATGGAGACTTCCAGGATGGCTTCGTACTCCATGTGTTAAAATCAGCAGGAGCTTCTTCTTTAATTTTCTCTATCCATTTAAGCTTCCTTGTGCGCTTCTCTGCAAACTCTTTCATTGTAGTTTTCTTATTGACGTTCTTGTCAAAAAAATATTTTATATATGCTTGCGATCGTCACACAAGGATTGAATCCAGGCATCATAAAACCTTTCACCATTTTCCACCAACAATCCTCAATTTTTGTTTGGTTAATTTTTTTAATCGGAACAAATACTCCTCCTTTTACTATTGATTTTAATTGGTTTAAGCCATCTCTCCATCTCAGGATCGATGACTAAATATGTTTATTGATGGACATAATCCGTCGATATGAGATCAAGAGTTCGTCTGTAATTGTTTTACTAACTAAATCACCAATAAAAATTGATTGTAAACATATCTTTCATCGGTAATACCGTATTGCATCGCTAAGTATGTCAGTAAAAAAAATATTACCGATAATTTTAGAGATAGAAATTGCATGCCAAAAAACAATCTCGCTAGAGATGTACCAACGAATGTATTTTGTAAATATGTTGCAGCTCTCGGTAAAATGCTGACAGACAATATCCACCGATGAAACCATCGGTAATTGTGGCATTTGTGATAAATATTTTTTAACTCTCTGTGAAATATCAACAGATATATTCCATTTGTAAATCCGTCTGTGGGTATTTTTAATTTTTTAAAAAAATATTAAGAATAAATAATATAAAATTATATAAATTAATAGTAAAAAAAACCAATTATGCAAATAAATTTTATTAAACATCAAAAATAAAAAAATAAAGTGAAATAATATTCATTACAAATTGAATGTGTTTTTTTAAAAAATATTAAATTAGCACAATGGTGAAGCTGGAGAAGGAGAAGCTGGAGGAGGCTGGTTGTTTTACAGCCAAAAAGGGGTGCACATATATCATTACTCTGTGATGCCATGTTCATAACAATTTGACTTTGTCCATAATTCGCTGAGAGTTAGTTGTATTTTTCAATGAGATGAGCCGTGTGTTGTTTATAACTCGCTAATAGTTGCTTTTATTTTTCAATAAGATGAGCAGTGTGTTGCTGTAAAGCTACGAACTCCTTAGATTAGGTGTTACAAAACTCATCATGTTGATAAAAACAGAATTTCTTCTTATGTTGTAACCAGAAGATATGTAAGGCCTTTCAAATATTCAACAATTTCATAACCTCCTAGCTTTGAACTCCTAAATAATCTATCAATGAAGGTAATTGAACTTGTGACAAATTCATAACCAAAATCAACCAAGGCTGAGGATCAGTGAGCAATTTCAGATGCAGAGTAATCTATAGTTAAAAATTTCAAAACAAAAAACAAACAGCAATACATGGAATAGAACCAACGTATGATGAGTAGGGGGAAACAGTCAATAAAGAAAATATGCAATACAAAAAAAAAGAGATCGTTAACCCTACTACTTTTGGAAATATCTAGAGTTTATCTAGCCATGTCCTAACTATTCAGAATTCAATTGGGATTTTACAGTTCAACAAATACTATTGTCCAACAAGCATAATGACTAGAATATATACTCTATACGAAGAGGGCATTGAAACATTTATGGAACAGGGTAAGCACAGGCATCTTCTGATCTACGTAGTTGTTCACGCCACAACCAAGAAGACAAGAGCAATCAAGATGTGTTCCCATACACGCATGAAATGTGTATCTCGAAACTCAAGACAATGAGCAGTCACAATATTGTATAAACTGAAATGTGAGTGCGGCTGTGCACCCGCGCTCGTGTTGATTGCAGGTATTGTATGTTAATTTTAATGATAAACTACAAGAATGTGAAATATAACATTACCTCTTCAATATAATAGCCTATTCTGGACGCTTGAACTATCATCTCCATTTGAAGGACATATAACTTGCTAACCACGAAACAGATGGTATCTTCAAACACTGACTTCTTATAAAGCTTTCAAGAATGAATAAATCTCAGTTCTAAATTCATCAAGTATCACACAATAAAATATTTCTATATATTAATTACTAATTACATAACTAAACACCTATCATACAATAATAGAGTAAAATTAAGAGAGAATAATTAAATTTATTCCTACATATTCAGTTACTAAGTACAAGGTAAATTCAACCGTAATAATTAAAATTCAACAAATTATTTAATTATTATGGTAATACAAACAATAAAATATATTGAATAAATTAAAAAAAAAACTATAGACTTTAGGAATGAAAAATGCTTACCTTAATAATATATTTATTTCAAAACTTTATCTGCATTATAAAAATACATTATAACAAAAAACTATAACAAAAATAACAATTGCTAAAACAAAGAAAAAAATTGTTAAAATAAAATTAAATAGAAAAAATATATACCTTTTAATTTCCTGAAGATTGAAGTAGAGATCACAAATAAAAAAAACAAAAAATTGGAAGGAAATGAGAAGAAACAAAATATGAAAGACTGATAAGAAAGCAAATGAAAAAATAAAATTAAAAGAGGTGGCTGTTGGGATTTGTAGCACAATTTTACCAACAAACATTTAAATAATAATAATTTTAATTATTTTATTAATAATATTTAGAAAATATATCAGTAAATTTTTAATTACATGTCATATTTTTTTTATAATCCAATAATATTTTTATTAGTAACTATCTGTTGTCAAATATGCATTTAATACCCAGTTCTTTGGGATTCGCACCATCTTTCAATGATTTCGTTAGTAGTTATCAACTGTTGATGAATTGTATATATCTATAATATTATCAGTGATTGTGGTATTTTCTATAAATATTGACAACGGACGGGATTTGAATCCAAAGGTTGATGTTGGACGTTGACTCAAATAATCGGTCTTGCAGTATTTACATTATCTAATTTAACCCTGCAATCATGCACTTGCATGCGCTGGCTTTGATGGACACATCTCACCTTCTCTTTTGTTAATCATTTCGAAGGCTGCAATGTTTACCTCTAGATTTTAGAAGGGGACGCGTGATAATCACATGAATCTAATTACAAGTTTGTGCCTCTACTCTGCTGTCACATGAAGGCGGAGAATTCAAGGAAAGCCATGGACCAATCCATTATCTATGTATTAATTAGCCCATAGCTCACATGGCTATACCAGGACTGGCTAGAGCCCAGTGGCTAAAACAGGGCTGCAAGTAACACCTTATCCAGTTTATACTGTTGTGGGTTAATAACTTTATATTTAATCTAGTTAGTAACAGTTATATTTAATAACTTTGTTTATAAAATAATAATCCATTATAAAACAATATTGACTCTTCCCTCCAAGTACAATCCTAAAACATGGCTGTGCTTGCACCCTTTTTATCATGGAAACAAGCTTGATCACGTTTACACCACAGAAGCAATCATACGGTCAGAGACTGAAGAAAGCAACTGAGAGTGAAAGAAACGGAGGTGCACGCACCATCACCATCACCATTGGAAAATGGAACCTTTTGCTTTTATCAGCAATAATTTCACATGCGTGTAACCCTACCATGACATTTATACGTCTCACCAGCCTTGTTGACCTCATTGTTTAATGACACAAGATGGTCTCTCTGCGTCAAATCTTATAAATTATATGAGTTTATTTATAAGGTTTTATGGAACGAAAGATATCTTATCAATTAATTAACAAAATTTGTATTGGGATAATATCATAGGCTCAGAGCCAGTCTTTAGACGTCCAGTCTGGGGTTTTAATCTTATTATATTTTGGATGGATAGCTAGTGTGAGATTTTGAGTTTTTATTTTATTATTTTGAGTCTAGTTAGGAATACGGCACCACGATGGCGCTCCCTGTGTTTTTAAAACAAAAATATATTGTCGCACCGCGCTATGCATTTTAAATAATAATTTTCAGTATTGATACCCAGATTAAAAGATTTTTTTATGTCCTGCCATATAATTTTAATGTATTAATATTAAAAATAAAATTTTTTTTAAAAATATTATCTCAAGAAAACAAATATTATAATTGACAAAGCACGGTCGAATGATGTTTCTGGGCATTTCATCCGGCCAAAAATGACTAGAGAATTGACGGAGAGGGGTTTTTGGAAACAAATAATAGCACTTTGGAAGAAAACATCCAAAGGGACCATACAAAGATAAGAGAGCATAAAAAACAAAGACTAGGTGGTCAAGCCATATTTGCTGACCATACATGTAACAAGCCATCAACAATGGAAAAAACTGAGCCATCAACAATGGAAAAAACTGTGACCATTGACTTCAAAATACTAGCTGACTCGAAAATACTAGCTAGGCACAAAGTCGTGCATCATCTGGATGAAAGAGGTCAAAACAACAGCAGCAGCACAAAAGGGATGATATTATGAACACAACAACACGAAGGTCCATCATGACCACTGGATTTGAATCCAACGGTTGATTCCAGACGTTGACTCAAACCATCGGTCTTCTGAACTTGATTTACCTTTACATGATTGTGCATGGCGCCGAGGGATAGTACTCTTCACAAACATATGCACTTCTGCACACATAGTAACCCCTACTTCGGCAACTACAACAACCATCTCCCCATACATCACACCCTGACCTACTTCGGCAACTACAACAACCATCTCCACATCCATCACACCCTGACCTACTTCGGCAACTACAACAACCATCTCCACATCCATCACACCCTGACCTACTTCGGCAACTACAACAACCATCTCCACATCCATCACACCCTGACCTACTTCGGCAACTACAAGACTTTTCACAACATGTGCATGGTTTTGGTTTTGGTTCTGGTTTTTGTTTTGGTTCTGGTTCTGGTTTTTGTTTTGGTTCTGGATCTGTTTTAGAATTCTTCGCTGGTGGCGGCTTGATCTCAACGCACTTGACAGTTGGACCTCCTTTGCAGTATATTTTTTTCTTGATCTTTTCAGGACAGCAACACACCACAGTGATTGTCACCGTGTTTTCCTTCTTGTCATATGTCTGGTTCTGGATTTCTCTTGTTCATTAATTAACATCATCAAATCCACAAAACTTAGTCACTTCCTTTGGTCATAAAAACAACTCAAACCTAGCACTGTTCCTAAAGAGAAAAAAAGAAAGACTCACGAGGGATATCACACAGTACTCTCTTGATTTTCTTGTGGCATTTTTCGCATCCAAGGTCAACCACCTTAATCACCATCGTTGTGACTTTCTGTAACAGTAGTACGTAGTTAGTGCATGTATTTTATATAGGACCTCACCATGATCATTAATCCCAATAGAAAAAAAAGAAAATCTCACGATAAATTTATAGACAGAAAGATTGGAAGAACTCAAAACATGTTCATGGAAGAATCCGCTGTAGAGATTATCAAGAACTTGTACATATATAGGACCTCCACGTAAAAAGAAGAAAAGCCAAATTAAGAGGATGCATTAAAAGATAAATTAACACATACAATATATATCATACCGTTTCTGCCATGGTTTTGTGTATGCTTTGATCCGATGAGACGATGGATATTATCGAGAGTATATATAGAGAGGTGTTGGGGGGGTGGGGTGGGGTAATTAAGATAAATACATGCATCTGATACATGTGAGGCCTTAATTTAATTGTCCTTGCATTTTCAGACCAATAAGATGAGGAAATGTGGACTTGGGAGTGGAAACTTCATGCAACCATCGTAAATACCGTCGCTGCTGACCCAACAAGCTTTCATCAGCAACAGATGGTTTTGATGTGCACATCTCACCTTCTATTTTGTTAATCAA